ATAGATTGAATTTCATCTCATGGGACTGCAAAGTGTTTCGATCCCGCAATTACATGTTAAAATTATTACCGTTTCTACATTTGTACTTAAAAATAGACTAAAGCAAATACAGTTTTAAACTATGAAGTGAACGCATAGATTATTATTATTTTTTAAATAATTATTCATTAAAATAATATTAAATTTGATTTCTAAGAGTCATCACTAACTTTTAAAGCCGAGGTCAGAAAAGAAATAAAAAAGTTTTTCTGTTTCTGTTTTCTTCCAAGGGATTAGAGAGATAAGTAGTGAATGTGTTTTCGTTTGTTTGTAATTATGCACAAAGCTACACAACGGGCAATCTGTGCAATGCCCACCACAGGTATCGAAACCCGGTTTTTAGCTTTGTAAGTCCGCAGACATTTCGCTGTGGGGGGGGGGCATGTGTTTTCATAAAGGCAGTTCGAGTTGTCAGGTCAAACAAATGAGACGAAAAAAAATTGCAATCATTCGGATGCAAACAAGGGTAGATAGAGAGTTAATTATTGACTTTTCACGCGCCACCAGTAATTCATGCATGAAAACAATGTCAACCTTTCATGATGTACTCATTCCTTCAGTGCACCCGTGACTTAGTGTGTATAAAGCTGTATCTGTGACTAGTTTTATCTGTACACGTGACTTCCTTTTGTATGGACGTGCATAAGTTTCTCTTTTAACCCCAGAACAACTGGTTTCGAATATGTTTTGTTACAACTGTTCTTCTGGAATGTGTGTGTTGGTTGTTAAAACTGGTTGGGTCTGCATTATTATGTGTGCGTGTGTTTATATGGGTCAGCAAATCAACGGCGCAAGTAACCTATAGCAATAGCAGGATATCCGTGCGGTATTATTATTAACAGTTTCCTTTTTATTTTATGTCGTTCGTTCGTAATTGTTAATCTACCGTACAAACAGATATAAATAACGGTCTGCAGGGAAAACTTTTAAGCTATTTATTCACATTTCTGAGTTGATATTTGAAAATAATGTTCTTAAAAAAAAATACAAAAGTGTAAAGAATACGTAAACTGATAATATCAGAACTGAAACGCCCCCCAGTGGCACAGCGGCATGTCTGCGGACTTACAACGCTAGAAACCGGGTTTCGATACCCGTGGTGGGCAGAGCACAGATAGCCCTTGTGTAGCTTTATGCATAATTAAAAACAAACAAACAAACAGAACTGAAACAAAAAATAATAAAATGTTATGTTCAGTAATAGACTTATTAACGTAAATCAATAAGATAACATGCATATCGTATCGAGATCAAGAAACGTGTTATTTATATGATAACGGTCCACGGTGATGTATATCTGGCAAAAAGTTTTATCTGACTCAAGAATAAGGCTATTTACGTGATGAGAACTAATGTAGTCTAAATTCGAATATATATGTATATATATAAAGAACATTTTTTATTTATGACAAGTCAATAAGGCTACCTAAAGCCTTCCCTTATTTTTACTTATTGACCAGGGGGAAGTCAGCCAGTCAACAGCACTCTAACAGCCACCACCCACGTTAAGAAATTGACTGTTGCTCTTACAACGCACTCGCAGCTTAAAATGCGAGAAATATATACATACATATTTTGTAGTATCGCACGGATTTGAACCTTCCTCGCCAGTTCAGAAATCCAGAACTTTATCACAGGGCCGTGCTCAACGAGAAGAAACGTACGAACACGAAGAGTCAAGAGAGAGGATTACTTAATTAATCGTATCGCCAAATGGAAAATTCTACCGGTTCGTTTTATATCAAAATAATTATGTTCAATAACAAACTCAATATTTTATAGAAACCTGACTTTTACTACAGCTACACGTCACGAGTCAATTTATCAGTTACTATTACATCTACTCTCGATCCTTCTGTTGCTTTAAAATCATCTTTACCTATATTGTTATAAAAACTATAGATTAAGGAGGCTAGGTTTTTGTTAACTAAAAAGTATTAGAGTTTATTCAAGAGTGTAGTGTATAATTTATCAGATTGTAAATGTAACACGTGTGAAAAGAACATATAATAGTGTCATATACATATCCAGGTCACTATCTTCGGTTTGAGCGTCCTTGATAGCATGTTTCGTGTGTATTTACATCACACGCTACGCGAAAGCGCTGTTTCTTGTAAAGATTTAGAACAGTGTTTTCCAACCGCGGGGGCGCGAAATATTGTACGAATATATAGTAACTAATGTCACCGGGACGCGGTGAAATATTCAAAAGATCTACCCATGCGCAGTAGCTTTTTGGTTGGGAAGCACTGATTTAGAAGACAGCGCTAACAGCGAAATCCTGTGTGTCAGTGAGAAAATCCATATCGTGATGTAGGTGATAAAATAAATAAATTAGACTTTTAGAGAAAAAATCACCTTTAAAAACTATGGTAGTAATTTATTTACTTGGCGACATTTCACTTGAAAAAGAGCGTTTGCTCGAAACTTTATATTCTTTAGTATCTCATGCTTCATACCTATATATATTTATGTACCACTAACTTATTTATACTTTTACATAGTGCTGTAGGATATGTAGCGAGTTAATACTTGTTCTACGTCCATATAAAAGGTTTTGACATCGTAAGAATTTAGTATCTCATGCTTCATACCAATATATATTTATGTACCACTAACATATTTATACTTTTACATAGTGCTGTAGGATATGTAGCGAGTTAATACCTGTTTTACGTCCACATAAAAGGTTTCGACATCGTAAGAAGCGCCATCTAGTGAACTAAAGTAAAGTTTTTAGTCAATTGTTACAATCGACTGAGATGTTTGTAAATCTTAGTTGAATTAAATACATTTTCTGTTTATTTGATAAGTTTTGCGCAAAGCCACAAGCAGAAATATTTGAGCATAGCCGTTCATAATTTTGAAATGATTGACTAGAGGAAAGGTAGCTATTCAATAACACTCGCCGCCAATTACTGGTCTACTCTTGTCAAATCGAATAACAAAATGTGACCATTACTCTTATACACCGCACCAAACTACCCCAAAGTGCATAGCGCGTTTTTAGTTCAAGAGATGCGAACCGTGAACATTCGGATTCACAATCCAGGCACGCTAGCCAGTAGGTCACGCCCGGCCTTAGTTCAGGAGAGTAATTTGCTAGAAATGATTTTTCCATTCAATAAATGTTGGGCAGCTTCAGATATCACACAACAATTTTGTATACACCTTATGTAAACTAGAACCATAGTACAATAATATTGAGTATTATACAATGTAAATACAAAATAGCATGAAGAATTAGATACTTTTATAGTAATATTACAGTTAGATATGAACATCTGTAAGCGAAAAAAATAGGAAATCAAAACATTTACTTTCCGCCATCGTCATAACTCTTAGTTTTAAAGAATGTTATTTACCGTATTGCCCCTAATTAACGCTCCTGGGAGCGTTGCAAACTGCAAAGGGGGAGGGCGCTAATTATAGTATTTGTGCAATTCCGGATTCAATTTTTCACATGTGATTTGTTGATTTCAATGTTAATAAGTGTGTGTGTTTGTTTTTCTTCTCTCTTTTTTTTTAAATCAAAATTGCGGTAATAAAAGTGGATTATATGTTGGATTACTATTGCTGTCACACAAGGTAAGCTTTATAAAAATACCGGCAGGCGATAATTAGAGAGGGGGCGTTAATTAGGAACAATACGGTATATATCTTATCTTTTTTGCGGTAATAAAAGTGGATTATATGTTGGATTACTATTGCTGTCACACAAGGTAAGCTTTATAAAAATACCGGCAGGCGATAATTAGAGAGGGGGCGTTAATTAGGAACAATACGGTATATATCTTATCTTTTTTGTTATTACATTAAACCAATCGTGTGGGTTAGTGAAATAATCATCTGATTATCCGAAACTTGTTCATTATGACCGTATTGGACCGTTTATATTAAGAAATAGAACATGACCGAATATTTTTAATGTAATAAAAAATTATCATTTAATCACGCCAATGTCAAAACAGGTCTGTGCTCTATCATGTATGAACATTTATTAAGGACGGACTTATTTTGACATCTCTTAACTCGGTTCGGTTTTACAATTAGAAAATGTTCTTTATTGCAGATTCAACAATCCAATTTTCGCTGCCCCCCAGTAGCACAGCGGAATGTCTGCGAACTTACAACGCTAGAAACTGGGTTTCGATACCCATGGTGGGCGGAGCACAGATAGCCTTTGTGCAGCTTTGTGCTTAACTACAAACAAGCCATTTGTTTCTATCGCTTTATCTAAATCGGATATATTTGCAATTCAATGTTTTTCAGTTTTGAAGATAACTGATTTTGTCTAACTAAGCACTTACAGTAGTAATATAAAAAGTGTTGGTTATTTTGAAATATACATTATGATACAACAGATATAAACAATTATTTAATAATTTTGTAAAAATCTCCACATTTCGAAGTAACATTGTAACTATGAGACACAAGTGGATATATTTTAACAATTATTAAATAAATTAACAAGTGATTAAACTTCAATCGTGGAACAACGTAAAGAGATATTATTGGTTCATTGATGACATATATATATTTGTGACAAATAATTTCGCTTTTTGATGATAACCATAGAAAAACTGAATAAATAAATTGCGTGTGTGTGTTTTCTTATAGCAAAGCCACATCGGGCAATCTGCTGTGTCCATCGATGGGAATCGAACCCCTGATTTTAGCGTTGTAAATACGAAAACTTTACCGAAATAAATTGGGATAGAAGACTCAAAATTATTAGATATATTTCTAACTGATTGTCACAAGTACAAATTCAAATTAAGTAGAAAATGCAAATTAAGAAATAATGAAACAAAATGTCATAAAAATAATTCTTTAAATGCTACGTAAATTAATTTCAAATAATATATATTTATATTATTTTTAACTGATGTAGGTGTTACCGAAGTAACGATGACAATATGAAACGAATCATAAGACTGTAGAAAAAATAATATATTTACCAAACGTTTCGCTGTACACCCTCTTCGGAAGTGTTCTATGCAAATTCTCAAATGCAATTGACCGTGCTAAGCCTGATATCTTTGGCGTCATAAAGGTGAATCTCAGTGGTTGCTTTATTATTGCACGTATGTCGAAGTAGAGAGACATGCTGTTTTTCTATTGTTTCTTCTTCTTCCAAACACTTTTCAATCGACCGCCATTCCTTCATTTCTTGACGGATTGATTTGAAACTTGGTAGGGTTATACCTTGGTCCAATACGCCTAGAAACCTTTTTTATTTTTATTTAGGCCTTTTTAAGTATTTTATGCGGTCATATGTAAAATAACCCAAATATATATATATTTTGGACTCCTATGCAGTCATAGTTACAAGATGAAAATTAGCACAAATATAAATTTTCTTGCACCAAACACATTGACATACAAAAAAGTTAGATTCGTCCATTTTGAGTCTTTTTAGAGGGGCCATAATTTTTTTTTTGTCAATTACTCGACTGTATTTTGACCAGTTTACGTGGGATTTGATACAAAGATACTTTTCTACAGGTCCCACACATTGACAAACAAAAATGGTAGACTTACCCATTTTTTAGTAATTATAGGGGGATCAAGATGCCACAGAAAGTATAAATTTAGGATATTTTGAAAATTACTTCACAATTTTGGCCAGTTTACATGGGATTTTGTACTAAGATAAAGATATTTTTTTACAGGTCTCAAACAGATATAGACAATTTTGGAATTTTTGATTTTGCTCAATTTTTCAGCGAGGAAAGCTCAGTTTGTGGTTTTCTTGACCTGTTCATGTGTATGTCAACCAACTTACATGGGATTTGGTACAAATATACCTTCTTGCAGCTCCCAAACAATGATATAGATAGTTTTTGATTTTTCTATGTTTTTCACGATTTTTTCTGATGTTAAAACTAGCCATGTTTGGATTGCGTAGCGGAGAAATGTTGCATTCGCCCGCGAATGTTGGCATCTCTACTCTTGGCCTTTTTATGTTATTATTATTATAATTTGTTTTCTTTCTTGTTTTTTAATGTTTAAACGTATTAATATTTTTTATTTCCTCCAATATCACTTAAATTATGACTAATTAATTTTTCATTACTGATTTGGGCTTTTTAGCCAAAGTCAGGCTTGAGGTAACAGATCCAAGGAGGTAAATCACAGTTGTAATATGTATGCAGGTACCAACACATCTTCTACGAGATGAACACTGGCAGTAGTGATTCGAACAGCATCTCTAGATGAAATAAAATTAATTGCATGCACTATAAAGCATTAAAACAAAACCATATACATGAAAACACTTTTTAAATAGTCCAACTGAATGTTTTATATCATATTCACGGTACTATATTTTTTGACTCATTATGCTCGCATAGGTTTCTTTATCTTTGACCCCGTATTTCAAATCCTCTTCAATTTGTATTGCTTAGACATTTTATATGATGAAGATGTCTTTCTGTGAAAAAGTAGTTCTAACAAAGACGAAGAAATTCCCGGATTATTCGTATTTTTATTTTTTCAGTAGTAGATTCCATTTCGTCAAAATAATCAAATAGCATTTTAATCTACATGAAAATCTCTTATACAGTTAGGACGATGACACTTGCTAAAATTATTTTTTTCTGTTGATCCTATTGACCAGAATTGCTGTAATTCGATCTTTCTATGTACTTTACTTAGATATTACTTGAATATTATCTCTGATATAATGCGACTTGAATACTAACTCTGATATAATACTACTTGAATACTAACTCTGGTATAATACTACTTGAATACTAACTCTGGTATAATACTACTTGAATACTAATTCTCATATGATACTACTTGAATACTAATTCTCATATAATACTACTTGAATACTAACTCTGGTATAGTACTACTTGAATACTAACTCTAGTATAATACAACTTTAATACTAACTCTGGTATAATACTACTTGAATACTAATTCTGGTATAATACTACTTGAATACTAACTCTGGTATAATATTACTTGAATACTAATTCTCATATAATACTACTTGAATAATACTCTTATATTGAATTTTGGTCACTGATCTCGCCAGTCTTCCTTTCTGTGCTAATAATCTTACATTTGTATGGAAGGATTTTTTTATACGTTCATTCTTAATTAAGGGCAGTGGCCTAGAAAGTTATGGATATTTATGTCAAGCCCCTGCAAACTGTTTAATTGTATTTTTATATGATATTTATACGACCGGACACTTTAATAGGATGTCATGCGAATATCAACATTGGACCACAGGATGCTGTAAAGTTTCATTTTCGATTGTTGCCCATTCATTCAGAAGTATGGTGAATATATTAAGCGAGAACTGCTTTGGCGAATGTTCTATCGGATTGAAATCGATTATTGTGTTGGTGATCAGAATCATTGAGACGATTTAGAACCAGTTAAGAAGGATGCCAAATCCTTCAACAAATGTGTAATCTTAACATAGAGAAAGGCTTAGTCTGTATCCGGATTTACGAAGTCCCAACATCCAACTCTATCATTCCATAACCAGTTTATCTAACCTGCCAATAATTTTGAACCAACTTTCTCTACTGTCGCGTAGTAATTGAAGACTTTCTACAAAGCTCAAACTTCGTAAATCACGTATCATTCTAATTGTGTTTTTTTTTATCTTTCAGTGCATATCAATATAATATTCTTTTCATTGATTGCACCATACTAAAAAAAAA